GGGGGGGGCGCAGATAATGATTGTGGCGCAGGATATGGGTTTGTGAAAAGCTGTATGGAGTTTAATGACGAGAGGTTCAATTGGAGGTGTGAGTATAGTTTTGGGTAGTAGAGGGGCTGGTAGGTAGATGGGATTTTGAGATTTCTGGGACCGGGATGGGGTCTACATGTTTTGGGTGTCCTGGATGGTGGTTTATTCGCGTTACTTGTAGTGAGACTGAAAATGAAGGAAGTTTACGGGAATGTACTGATTTTATGAGAGAAATTGTCTTTGAAATGTGATAGCGTATACTCGTTTCTGTTATTGCCTTTTGTTTTGTTCGGTAGGGGTGAGTTATGTACCTTACCCAGTAGATTAAGCGAGGGTAGCGGGCTGGTGGTTGCGAACCTGCGAAGCGTTTATACCTAAGTGAGTTACCGCTGCTGGTAGATGTGTAGGTGAAAAAGAAAGGGTTTTAGAGTAATTGTCGGAAAGAATGAAGGACTGGGATTTTACTTAGTTTTTCTACTCTGGCAGAATACCGTCCCTTCCAGGCCACAGAGTTACAGAATATACCATGCACGGGAAGTGGAGTAAAAGAGTCAACTTTATAACATCTGCCCTGTCAAAAAAAGTCGTTTAGCTAACCAAAAGGGGTTCCTAAGCATTTGAGCCTTAATTTGACCCAGTCTTTTATCTACTTACATCCAACTTTGAGGGAATGCTTGATTGTGTAGCTCTGTGGTCTGGAAAGGATAAGTGAACCGTAATACAAGTTTTTGATATAGCCTTACTCGATGAGTTAGTAGCTGAGGCTTAGGGCCATTTAAGATATAGAGTGAAAGAAGCTTCGCTACATCGATGATTCTTCATGTCTTCGTTTGTTTTCCAAGCTGATTTGAATTTGGGGCTTATTACTCTGGAGATGTGGGTAAGTCAGGCCTTCTTGTTAGTGACTTGAGAAAATCACATGAAAGAATTACAACACTTCGTAAATTGACGCTAATAGAAGCAAAAGTGACACCTGCACAATTCCATATAATCTACCATCAAAGGGCTCTCCTGTCACGTTCTTTTCGCTTCGCTAACTCGAAACCGCAATCCGCCAGTATCACAAGCTTTCCCTCATCTCAGATTTGATTCACTCATAGGCGCGGCCCATTCCTTTACTGACCACGCCCCATTCTTCTCATGAGCGCTTCAAAGATCGGAAACCTCCTTGAGCGGAGTCAAACTCCTCTTTGCTATTCAATGGAGTCCGTCTTCCGCTCCGAACGGGTATCTGCGATACTTTCTGAAGTGAATCAACGCTTTGATGACTCAAATGGAGGGTGACAGAGGGGTATGCAGTTCATGTGAGCTGTTTAGGGTGTTTAACTCCGAAATTGGGACATTGTGGAGGTGTTTATGTGTAGTTTTGTTGGTGGATTTACCATCAAGTATTGAGCAAAGTGGGGCCGTAAGCGGGCCCATGGCTGGTAGAAGCGTGAATTTGTACCTTTGAATATCCAATGCGGGGTAATGCGAAGCAGTTCACGGGCGGTGCCATGATTTATTTGATGGTGAATATAAAGTGACCGTGGGGAAAAGGGGGGAGGTACAGGGGTTAAGCGGAGTTAAGCGAAGTATTCGTAGTTACCAAGTTGGGTGTATCTTCAAATGCGCAAGTATAGCCCCACTTTTGGCTCTCTGAGCTGTGATCAATATAGCACGTTTCTGTGTCTTACGGTTAGAGCCAATGAAACACGTCCTAGAAGATGACTGCGGTTGGGTTGGGCGGGTGGCTGGAGGCTTCCAATCACGTGTGGGTTTGGAGGTGTTGGGTCTATATAAACAGCTCCACCTGGAGCTTCGATGCTTCTTGTTATCCATCATCAAACAACGGAATAATAGTACTATTCTGAGTACCTCCAGTCTCTTCAGTCTTGCATTCAAATCTTCATCTCACTCGCTAAACAACCCCCAACTCCAAACAACCTCAAAAATCAACACCTCAAACAAACCAACTCACGCACTCAACAGCACAACATGCACTTCCAACTCTCCCACATCCTCTCCCTCACTCCCCTCCTCTCGCCCATCCTTGCGGCTCCCGTCTCTGATGCCCTCGACAAGCGCCAAACCATCACCAAACCCCCTCCAGCCTGTATCCCCAAATATGTCGTTCCGCCCGATGAGAAGGTATGTATGGCCGGGTTCGCAAGAGGATGTATACTGATGACAATATCATAGGCCGCTATCTGCCGCAGCTTGAACTTGCAACTATGGGAGGATCGCATGAAGGCTTTGTGGTACTGCTGTTAAGTGTTTGGTTCTTGGGGGTTCCTTCCTTTTGCCTTATTCGAGAATCGAGGGATGGAATGGGATCTAGGGGCTCTTTGTTGGACCATAACATGATGTTTGGAATGGACCTTTGTGGGATGGATGAGGTGGAATTTGGTATGCGGGAATTTGGGAGTTTAGTAATTGGTGGGTAATCGTGGGATGGGTTGGGATTGGTCGTCTGTGGCTTGGGAAGTCAAAAGGGAAAGCGTCTCTGATGGACGGCGTGCATAATTGATTCTCTGAAATGATGAGGGTTTTTTTCTGCAATACTTGTTCTGATAACTGTGACTTTTGTGATGTGGATATGTGGATATATAAATAACCCTATGCTACCTAAGTGTATGAATATGCCAAGACTCGGAGCATTAAGATCTTCTTTGCTAGGTTTTCATTTCTCGAATTTTGGGCGCAATAGAGGTGGAAAGTCAGCCCTGGTTGCTTTGAGGATGATGGGCACTTTGTATTGTGTTGTAATTGAGAGGACGTAAGAAGAAAGGTTCGGTGAAATCAACAGATCTTTCCAGTAAACTGGCATTCTTTTACCGTACGTTCTTGTTTGAGCACCTGTTTACTTACTGTTACCATAAAATGTAGTGTTTGAATGTGTTTCAAATCACGAGAGAGAAAAATAATGAAGTTCTCCAGGATGCTTCATCGATCAGAGATGTCTCTACGTTAGACGTCTATACCATCATTACCCTTTCACCAGAATGGTACAATGGTCACGTGGTAATTCCAACAGAGAAGACTCTGGCCGAGGGAAGCGAAGGAGCGGATAATGTACGTCAAGTGCCTGAATAGAAATCAGGCTTTTCTGTAGGGGAGCCGCACTAACAGGAAATGATGAACACCACCCGTGACAAGAAAGGAGGTGCACGTGCTTTTCGTCAACTAAGCGAACCTCAGGCTGGAAAGCTCTTGAAGAAAACTTGACTCTAACCTCTGCCAATTATTACTCAACACCTCACCTTAACTCCATTCAAATCTACTTTGATCCACATCAGTTCTCTTCAAATACCCATCTCCATTCGCGGTCTTCTGTATCCTTACTAGTCACATGACGATTGTTTGCTTCTATCTCCTGCAGCGTGCAAACGGATTCGCAGCAGACCACCAGACTCTTTTCTATCCTCAAAGATACTGAATTTCATCTGCCATCAGCGATACAGTACTGTTGAATCACCCTGCTGATCCATCAATTTTGCGACCACTGCCATCAACTTCTACTCCGAATAATGCAAGCACCGCGAAACAAGTGACCAACCTCTTTCTGTCAACCCAATTACCCCCAAAAAACACAAAAAAGATCCTTAAATCGTTCACGATGTCGATCGTCACTCTACCTATCGAGGTTCTCACTCGTATTTCCGAAGCTACTATGCCTGAAGGGTTCGAAAACTTCTCATTGGCATGCAAGACATTTTACGCCGTCAGTGCTCAGTTTTGCGAGAAGCATAATCGGTTCAAGGAGAGATACACAACTTTCAGATACGACAATTTGTTGTATCTTGACTGGTTAGAAGACGAAAGAGCACACGGGGTCGGGGTATTTCAGGACAAGTTACCCGTGGAAATGCACTACGTTAAAGGCGCCGCCGAGATTTTCTGCTTTTCGGCTTTGGAGCTCCTTCATCAAATTTCAGAAGAGCCTTCAATTGCCCGTTACATTGCGGATTTCACAACCGTCAATGACATGTTTGGAGATTGCACAACTTCCGAAGCAGCCAAATATTTCAAGAATCCATTCGTTCAAGATCGTCTTAAGCAAATTGCTTCATCACAAAATCTGCTTATATTGTTGGAAGATTTGCCTTACTTGCAAGATGCTGGCGCAGATGCTTTGGAAGTCAGAGACTATCTGATATGGGAGTACTCTTCTGGTATTGGGGACGATCTTGCGACTGCCCTGCTTCTCACACTACTTCCCAATGTCACCAAGGTCAAAACTTATACTGGGTATTATTTTTCTAGAACCTGCGATGCTGGCATACCCGCAAACTTTGATCGAATATTAACCCTCTATGGTAACTTATTATGGCGGAATACGCAGGATTCAAAATATCGAGGTAACCCTTCCGCTAGTCTGCAAAAATTGGAATGTTTGGCGATACGTTGGTTCGCATGGGAGGACAATTCGCTTCTGGAATGCGACATCTTCTTGTGCCTGGAAAAGCTCAAAGATTATGCAATGGGCGAATTTGATCAAAATCGCAAAGCAGACACGTCATTGGAAGTGGATGAACCGCCAGAACTGAGAGGGCCAAGAGAACATTCTGAATCTGTCGCTCTCCACGAATCTTTCCGGAATGAAAATCAACTTCAGACTTTTCTAGCTAGACTTCCCAAGCTCCGGCATTTCTCTTTTAGTTACAGCGATACACCCTCCTATGATGTACCTCTTGATTCCGAAAGTATCGTAGCTACTATCGAACAATCAGTAGGCGCAACTCTTGAAGAGCTGTCCTTCAACATAGAAAACGAGCAAGGTAATCGCCCGCAGAGAGGGAAAGCAATCCAATCAATGAAGTCCTTTAAGAAACTGAAAGTTCTGGAAATACACTTCAACACCTTCTTTGATTACGACACTGAACCTAAGATTGCCGAACATCGAGCTTATTTTTTTCATGACGATTATGACTTGGGAGATGCATTTGACTTGAGGTCAGAATCCGATGATACGAACGCGAGGCAAATTTGGAGCTCCAACCCGAACGATAAACCCGTGGGAACGATCTACGAAAGGGCTCCTTTACTTGGCGACATACTACCTTCAACAATTGAAAATTTCACTTTGCACATTTCTAACATCCTTATGGCTGCGAAGTTTTTGAAGCCAGCACTTCTGGATATTGTCAAAGACGGAAGCAAAAAGCTGCCGAATTTAAAAAAGATTTCACTTCGTTTTACTTGTCGAGCCCCAAATTCGCGAGGGGTACCCACCCTCAGAGAACGCGTCCGGAAATTGAATGATGAACAGCGAGATGTGATAGAATGGTCGTGTTATTGCGAAAAGATTGAATGGGATGTCGGAAGTGGACCAGATATGAGATCTATTATGGCGGACGCAAAGCTTGGTTTGCTGAAGAGAAATAATGGGGGTTTGTGAGGAGCCTGAATTTGTTTGTACGTTGTCATCGAGGAAAAGGGTGGCAGAGGATTGAGGGAGGGTTGTGTTGATTTCACCATTTGATCTTGAATCGGGCAATGGCTGGAGTGTGTTCATCTTTAGGCGTCAGCGAGCCGACGGGAATGTGTGCGAATTTGCAGAACTTTCTAACAATTGGTTATCCTAATATTTCTTGTGTTCAAGAGGATGTCGAGAGCACTGGGACATTTCCTGAAAGGCTCTCTTGCTTATGTTAAAGATAATGTTATTATGATATTCAGGACTCATCTTATTGTTATACTTGGCACTTTTCTCTGATTTTCCTGATACTATTCATTGATAACAGCTTCGCTCATGGTAGCAGAGACCCCAGTTCTAGTGCCATAAGAAACGAAATGCTGTCCAGTGTATGGTGAGAAACAATGAGAGATTACGAGGAATCAAGTGTCACCTAAATTCTCATGAATGCTATCAATGACCTAATGACCGCACTTCGCACTTCGCACATATCTTATCGAGCAGTCTATAACAGTAAACAAGGTGATACTCACAATTTCAAAAGCCATAGCTTAGCATCGAGTACCTCTGTACACTTGAAGTTTTACTGTTCACTTAATCACATACTTATTTGGGTACGTATGACTCGAAAGTAATGTCCAGTACTTCCTAAAATGGTTGCATTTTGACTATTTTGTCTATCTCCTTCGCACTCCTTATCTCATCCCACAAGGAACTCATTTGGCCGAATTAGGGGCGTGCAAAATGGTTTCTGGTAAAACCTGTTAATTACATGATTCAATTTTACATACAACATCTATATTAGTTAAGGAAAGCTTATATAAACTCAAAAATCCTTTATTCATAGATAATACCACGTTCAGCCTAAAATTCCGACCATAAATTCTTCCTATATCTCTATATAAAAAGAGACGCATTTGAATCAGGGGCTCGCTAAACACGGAAGAATGGCTTGGCGGGGAGCGCGAAGGTGATAGCTGTGAATAGAGCGCTGTAAAAAAGGCAAGGTTTGCACGCTACTATGGCTAGCGCATTTTCCGACTCATCAACGATTTGACCCACAGTATCCATAGTGAATACGTCTCGACGTTTTCCCCGATCTTGCTCCGATTGCCGCACTTCTTTCCAGAACGAGCCACTGTGGTGTTTGCAGAGCTCAGCAAATAGCAAACTGGCGGAAGGCGCTCCAAAGTCCTGTACCACGACGTGACCTAGACCTCTCTAGGTGATCCAACCACAACCCAATCAAATTTACTTTTCTTCTGACCTTCAATAGATCATGCCGCCAAAGACGATGAACTCAGGCCAAGCAGCCATAGAGCCGATTCCGTTACGATCCTTGATCGTCCTTCTCAAGCATGAAATGAATACTTTCGATCCCAAATGGTCGACAACTCGTTTGAAAGATACGACCTTTCTTCAAGATTCTGAGGTTCGGGAGAAACGCTCTCGACTTATGGAAACCTTGACCCAAAATCCTGCTGCCCCAAAGACAGAAATGCACATGCTTCATCAAGATACCCGGATTCCTCCAACGCCTGGAAGCATCACATCTGGTGCCTCCGAAGAATTCTTCCAACCCAACTCTAATGCCTATTACGCAGAAGAAATTCTCGGAAAGCGCAGCGAGGAAATCTTTCAGATTACGCGGAATAATGGCCGTTGTTATACTGCAGCTCAAGTATTCAAAGAATTCCTTGCCCTCTGTCCAAAGGATCAGAAGCTCTCGTTTCGACTTGATGGAGAAGACGAGCTCGTGGAAGTTGCCATTGGCTCATGCGAAGTGGAGGAGTACAGAGTATATGGTTCCAAGTCAAAGATTTATATAGCACTTTACAGAAACGATCACCGAACCCCCAAGTTATATCGAGCAGAACCCGATGGAACATCCAATCACGTCATTATCAGAATATCTCACCTACGCCAAAGCACTCCAGTTGTTGTTGATATGACATCTATGCAGTACGGGAACGATGCTGGCCGCGGAACACACGGAGAGCCTTACATCCTGAGCACTTACTCACAATGGGAGGAGCGGATGCTGAAATTTCATGACAGGCTGGAGCGCATTTTCAGAGGAAATCTCCTGTCCCAGAAAGTTCCAAATCATACTGATGGTGTGCGCATAGATCTGCTTTGGGGATGGGCAGGTAGCGCTTTGAACAAATGGCGCAGAAAGAATTTCTCTCCTTGGTGCGCTTATTGCGGTCTTGGGGCGGCGGATACCCTCGGTGGAAAAGACAAGATGTTATACTGCTGTAAAGGTGATTATTACTGTTGCAAGGAACATAAAGAATTTCATTTGGGGCTACATCAGCAAGAGTGTGAGAGTCTGGAAACTGAAGGGAGGAGCAACGAATGAAGTTTTCAGTATACTGGGAAACGTCGATTCACTGGTTTCAGTTGCGAAAGTGAGATCTGACTTGACAGCCAACTCCACATGCGCAGTTTCAAAGCCTGAGTAAGCTAGAAATACACGGGCGAAGTTCCGGAAATAAAAGATACCTCATCGAGCACTCTGGCACTATGTTTCTCTCTCCCCTGCTTATACTTCGCTACCAAATTCCAATCTTGAGTGAGCAAAAGAAATACAGTTAATTAGCATTTGAGGTCCATCGTTGGTAAGAGGCCCCCCTACACCCTCAAGAATGTCACCGTGCTAGAAGTCCTACAAAAGTCATTCCTCTCTACACAAATCAAATAACAGGCTATAATAAACAGCAACAGTAACGAAATTCAATGACCCTCAAAACGATACAGTTAAACTAAAAAGTAAAGCTTTCCTAGGCCCTGAACACCTTTGGAAAACATACTAAGACTCCAGGGCAGAAAAAACATTCAAACGTATTCTAGGGTTCCAAGAAAATCAATTATGTCTGCCCAGGCTATGTATAGGTAATGTGAACTGATGCTTTATCCCTTGGTAGTAAACCCTTCAAATTCCAGTGGATGAGAACTTTGTATATCTCAGTTCACCAGAATTTCAACTTCACCTTCATCATGGCTTTACAAGTGGCACCTCCATTGTAGAATAGTTGTGTGGAAGTGAGTTGAAGGGTCTCAAAACAGCTCTGAGGTGGGCTCTAACCAGACCCAGAAGATCTGAGCTTTATACATACAGCCGAGTATCCAACTCAAATATCTTTCTGCTATATCTCCCATTATTTTCCTTTAACTGCAGTTAAAATTTTACATCATATCAAGCTTTTCATATACCAGCAGAGAATATAACACTCGATCCCGGGATGAGTCCTCATTTATCCTTTCTGGGCGCAGCAAGACCGAGATAAGGCTTCTTTCCAATCGGAGATATATAGTGGCATAGCGTATTTGTGGCTGTGCTCTTCTGTGGTAGGTATTTACTGTCTTGATGTAAGCGATACTTGTCTAGCGACTAACCCAACGGAATCTTTGGCTCATACCAATATGAATCCCTATGATACAGACGGTACGAGACCATTGCTCCCTGTATATCTCGAGAAGAAATCATCTCGACCCTTCAAGTGCGAGTTACCTGATTATCCAAAAAAAAAAGCATGGTAACATCTGAATTCCACTTCACAATCCAGATAACCAAACAAGTACCAGAGCTTTGGGCTTCCTTCAAAAGAACGCAAAGCACAGAATTCCACCCACGTCAATGCAGCCAACCAACCAACGTCTGATTCAACACTCGACAAACAAAACCCGGAGCCCAAGGCATCAAAATACGCCATTAATTCGATCGCCGACTTTTTATCAAGCCCAGCAGCGTGAACAAACACAAACAGTGAATCTCAAAATATCACAAATTCCATCTGGACGAAACGCATCCGCGAACCCCGTATATACTGTCACCCCCTTATCTACTGTCGATCACAGACAAGTTAACTCACTACCTAGGAAAAACTTACAGACCTATCACAAAATAATGCTGGATTGAAAACGCGATTGTCAGGATCATTCTCAGGCAAAACAATGTCGTGACTGTATGCTCAGTGTCAGGTTTCGGGGGAGGAGCTCCTACACCTAGGTCGTCCGATTCCCACTGGATGAAGAAAAACGACGAAGACGGATGGAAGGTTATTATATACCCTTGGTAGTTGTAAGCACCAACCATGGTGTATCGTTTGGCCTTGGTGTTATATTTGCACGTGCTGAGAGAGTTCATAAAGCACGGTTATCAACGTCCTGGGCGCGCTTTCTCGTGGAAGTTAAGAGTGTCGGGGTATATCATCCAGGCCTTATATGTTCATTCTTCCATACTCATTTGGAGTTTAAATAAGAATTTGCGATTCCACGTTTTCATGGAATATCACGTTGAAACCCCCTCTTCTGATGCTGCTCCTTCACGAGGTTGGTTCGCTGCAAGTCGAGGAGCTTGGATGGGAAGTGAATATGACTTGAGAGAATAGAGAAGCGAATAAAGTTGATTAAGTACAAGACATGTTATGCAAGCTTTCCAAATCGACGAAGCTCTAGATCTAGTACCGCCCAAGCCACTAGTATTTACATTACTAACCATGACCGATATGTCATTAAGTATATGAGTCAACCAAATACAGTAACCACCACAATTTGTTTTTGAAAATTCCGGAACTCCACTAGATTCGCAGAACTCAGGTCTTTCCTAGAAACAGAGCGATTGGCGTCTTCTTGACAGTCCTCCCAAGCTCTTATCCACCTACCCATGATTTGTCTGGTGTGAGTCGATTGAGCAGGATGACTGCCACCATCATCTACCCCATCTGACTCTTCTTCCAACTCTCCAAAACGACTGTCCAGCTCTTCACAGTCAACCTGTACCTCGATCCGAACCCTCGTCTGTATTCCAGGAATATCGAGGAGCGGTAATAACCGAGAGAGCTGATGGTCTTCGGGCACTTCCCATGCCACGCTTGGTGGAATATGAAGAACGATTTCGAGATTCGTTAGGATCTTGAACTCCGATATGTACTCAACAAGCTGTTCAATGGTTGTCGGACCGCGAGAAGACTCTTTGTTTTGGCAATCGATCGTTAGATCATACCAAGCTTCGCAGCCGGACTTTTGGTAATGAATTGGAAGCGTCATGCTTTCGCTTTCATTCTTGAAAAGTGGCCAAGCAATATTTGGCGTAGAAGAGGTGAGATCGAGAACTTCTTTGTTGGTTTGCTTGTTTACTAGAAGGAGAGAAAGTTCCTTGCTGCTCCAAGCATCGAAATGTGGTGTGTGTTGTATTCTTTCGTGTTTACCCAATGGCCCTCCCTTGTGACAATGACAACGATGAGAAAATGGGGAGACTGGGGTGTTCGCAATGCTGTATATGTAGATCTTGTTGCGCAATTCGATCGGTAAGCGTGGGATCATATTTTTGAAAAGCCGCTTGAAATTGGACGAGTGTAGTTGTCCTTATTTTGAAGTAGTGATCGAGATTTTTGAGGTAATTGTGGTCCACTTGAGGCATGGGTATATAAGACATCGAAGGACACTCGAAGTGACACACAATATAAGCACGAGTAGTCCAAGAAGGATCGATTTCAAGAACGTTTAGAGGTGAGATGGAGAACCAAGAAGAATAGTGACAAGATATAGTAATCACAATGGGATGTTTTCAGCCAAAAGCTCGTATTGAAGATCACTGATGCGAGTGGCTGAACCTTGTTGAACGGCCGCCTCATTTTTGTTCGCCTCGCATAACCATATGTGGTGGTTGTACCATCGGAACCAGGACTTTGCCAAAAACAATGAATACGATAAGAATGGGATTGGAAGGTTCTGGGGGATCTCAAACCTTTGAGGCTCGTAACACCAAATAAACGCTTGATTGTCTAATACACAAATGCAAAGTCGCTCTTCTAGTAGTCGGGCGAAAAAAGGAAACCGGAGCTCCGTTAACGAAGATTCCACCAATCTTTTTGTAGGGCGAGACGAAAGGGCGCATAACGCGCTCCGTGTATTCATCCATGTAATATGGGATATTCGTAGTAGCAAATCTTGGAATTATGACATTTCAAGGCGATTTGTTTTTATATGGTGGAGAGGGAGGTAATCGAGCTTCCAAAGTTGGACCTCAGAAGAAGCGTGCGCCAGGCAATAATTGACTTTGGCCTGAGGCACAAATCAGTGTCACGTGAAGCGTGGTGGTGCTCGTTTCTTCAATTCCGTCCCGCCCAACTCCACGGCTTCACAACACCCAATTGACATCCCCACATCTGTCACCATGTTCTCTCACACACTTAGAGTATCCGTTAGTACCCTTGCTAGCTTGAAATTTAAGTCTGCTAACAATTATAGCGCTCCTCGGTCGCCCGAGTCGTCAGACAACAAGCTGCCGGCTCCATGGCAAAGCGTACCTTTATCACACCTACTGCAGTTCGTCAAGGTTTGTACCTCTCTCGTGGAATTCCGGTATATAACTGGGACGGTCTGGTCATGTTAATCCTTTCGACGCGCCCTGCGATGGACTTCGGGCAAGCTTTGATAGGACCTCGACCTTGCTAACCTCGACCTTCAGCCGATTTCGTCCAAGACTTATACCTCCGCGAATTGAAGGCCTACAAAGTGCCAGCAGTTAAGGCCGCCGACGCCGAGGGCTCCGTCCAATCTTGGAGTCCACCGAAGACACCAGTCTCTCCCGAGGAGGCCGATATTGCGAGCGAATTGAAGGCATACGAAGCATCCACTGTTGATATCGAAGGACAGGCCGAGGCAGGTACCGCCCCAGAGAGCACGGAATTCAATTGGTTTGAGGAGGAGCCAGAGGAAGAGGAGCACAAGCACTAGAGGGGCAGACGTAGAGAGGCAGGGGAGATCGCAGATTTGGAGAAAATGGCTGGATGAAAAATCTTGCGTGTATGCATAGCTAGAGAATTGGGAGCTGTACAGTTGGGCAAATGAATTCTTGCGACGAATTGAATTTGCTTGGATTTGTGATTGCCTTGTTTGGGGTGGCTGTTTGCTGGGCAAGCTTTCCGTTGTGATTGGATTGGACCACCGAAGTACGGGAACCTCCTTGCGAATGAGAGATTTTCTAGGTGCCAAGTGGCTCACTATATTTCATCAACTTCTAACGCCTGCCCTTTCATATTTCCATCCACACCCCCTTGATCGCATTTTTTGTATAGCATATGGAGCGGGCAACATGTTGAGCTTTGACCAAGAGTTTGGCACGGCAGCTTTGGATATGCTTTCAAGTACAGCCCGCTTCACAAAAGTAGCAGGACGTTTGCGATCCCAGAGCCTGTGGGAATAAACAATTTAAACGCACAGAATACCTTGCAATACACTAGGAAGCACCTTAGAATCCTGCTACCCCTGTGAAAGGGCCTTAACTTGTCAGGCAATTGAGACCTGAAAGTTGCAAAGCGAACTGGGATAGTAGCCCGAGGAGCCTCAAAATCTATCGCCTCAAGTGCTTGCATTTCTGTGGTTTGCAACGGGCACTTCTTCTGCGGTGATCCTTTCTACCAGTCTCCAACCCTTCCGGAAGCTTTCTTCCTTCATCATAAAGTACTTGCGAATATTGCTTTTTCTCTCAAGCATTCTCTAAGATTTGTTGCCCTGTACTTTTTGATTGGACCTGGTATTCTTATTTGTGTGATTAGGAGTACCAACGCTCCCCATGGTTGTGGGCATGGATTTGGCCGGGCGGTTTCTGCTTTCTTCCGGTTTACGATGGAATTGAGCTCAAGACAACTTCTGCCCCCATATCTGTTGCAGATCAATCCCTAGGAAAACACCTGGGCTGCGAGATGTAATTATATAGCGGGACCACCATGCTTGAACGAGTAACTCTTCTTGCCTCACATCAAGAAATCTAGAGCAGCCCTCTCATGTGGGTGATTGATTCGCGTAGTATATCACATGACACTATCCACTTCACCCAAAAAAGGAGAACCTAAGACCTCCAACTCAATCATTTAATCTATCACACTTCGTTCAGGTAAGAATCATTCATCTTAAAATAGTGGAATGATCGAATACTCCTACTGAAGCAATCTTTATCTATTTACCATCGAAGTAAACTTACTATATTATCTCTTCTAATCTAAATCCTAAAGTAAGAAAGGGATAAGGTCTTGCAAGCTTTACATACTGATTTACTAACGCCCTTGGCTGTACTAAGATAGGTAGATGTGTACTCGATGGTTTACCTATATAACAATCTAGATTAGTATCTCCTCAAAGATTACATGACTTATCCCTCAGACACGAAGTTTAAGCGAAATGTGTAAAAGACTAAGCCCTACCAAAATAACAAAATCACAACAAAATCACACCCCATACCCACAAAGCATTATCAACTCAATACCTAAAATATCTCTCCTCTAACCAAAATCCATCTCCACACACCACTCAACAAATCCCAGTCAACAAACCAGCCCCAGCCCCTTCCCTTCAGATCCACAATCTAGCTCCCTCTTCCCACCCCCTCGCACTCTACCCTCCAATCAAAAACACCACACCACCCCCAACAGCTCGGCGACCTAGAGAACCCAGCGACCAAAAAAACCAAGCTTTGTGGCGTATACCTAACCCCAATCCACGCATCTGTGCTATGGTAACCTCCGGATTTGCTAGTTTGACTAATTAGACTATTACAACCGCTATATAATAGATTTACGGAATACTATTATAGACGTTACTAATATATTAATCTGTTCTATAATGATCTTTTTTTGTAGCTTGTTATAGTGTGGAACAAGTAGGGTGGTAGGTATAGAATAAGGAATAAGGAATAGAATGTAGCAAGTAAACACTACACATTATACAAATCTACTTCTCTACTACTCCTACCCGCCCATATCGCCGTAGAGCTAGTACGAACGTAGACTAAAGGCGAAATAATCGTATCTGGGAATAGCTTTACTTTTTACTTATCTAGTTATATAGGACTTAAGAGGCGTTGTACTCTAATTACTTGTTATTTTAGGTTATTTTATTTGTTTTCCTAGGCGAGGGGTATACTTTAATAAATAATTAACTTTAATTATTAATTCAAATAGCGAATAATTCGCATCCTAAACGTAATTAAATAATACTGTCTATTCTACTATGCGTACTAATTAACGAATTACTAGTAGTATTAATTAATTTGTTAATTTGAGGGTTACAATAGTACACATCTCTCTTTGTTCATTCAGACCCAGACCTTGCCCTTCACTGCGCTTCGCCAGACGCCACAACACAAGAACCATAACCATAAGCTAAATCAGGACCAGACATGACGATTGAAACGGTAACATTCTAGAAAAATCTTGGAATTGACGGTTGGGAAACGCAAATGTCCCGGGATTTGAAGATACCGAGAGTGTGGTCGGCGAGTCTCGCGTATCATAGATTTATGGGGAAGCTTGGCCTAGAGTATGTGGGGATGTAAATCCTACCCTACGACGAAAGTTGAGGCAAGAGCCAAAACTTCTTTCTATCCATACATACACTCTACCCCAAAGTAAAACCAACATTTCCCCTTTCAACCTCCGCAAGAGGCCACGCAAGACACTCCTTCCACTCACCACCAAGCCTCTTTTTAGCCTCCAGAATGATGTCCTCTCCCCAATTTCTCAACCACACGTCATCCCTCAGCCAAAATAGCAACACAGCATAATGCGCAATAACAGCTAGAGCCAACTCCTCGCCTCTTTTTAGCCTTCCGATCAGCTGCCCGGGTCCAAGAATAACGAATGGCAACACCACAATGCCCGTCCGGTGAAACTCACGCGCCAACAAAAAGATATGTACCAACCACGCAATCGATTGCTCATAGATCCCATACCCTTCTTCGTCATATCCTCAATACAACTCTTGATTACGGGATGAAAGTAAAACGGGAGATTTGGCGATAGTCGCGGGAAGAGAAGTCCCAGGAAGAGGAGTCCCAAGCCCATTACAAGGAGCGGGCAAAAACCGAGCCTTGTATAATGACTGACTTAACCAGTGTCCTCCCCTCTTAACCACAACCCCAACCCCCTTCATCAACGCGAGAATCTCACATATCTCATCCACCACATCATTCGTCTTCCTCATCCGCGTATGTCGGACTCCGAATGCAAACTTGGGGATGAGGATTGATAATGAGAATATGCCCGCCGTATCTTCGGGTGTCATATCTGTGAGTTCCTGTCGGAACAGGGCGAGGGCTTGCGTGTGGTGTTTGAGTGTTTGTTTGCTGTGTGTCGTTGAGGGATGTGTCATGGAGAGGTGGAGCGAGGTGATTGCGAGGAGTCCGGAGAGGAGGAAGGGGTGGGTGAGGGAGAGGGTGGGGATGGTGTGTTGCCAGATGGGGGAGTAGCTTTCGTCGGCCATTGTGAAGCTTGTTGAGTGGGCGAAGTAGTGGAGTAGACGGGAATCATAGTTCTTATCGTCTTGGAGGGTTGTAGGGGGAGGAGAAGTAGATGTCTCTTGAGTTAATGGTTTGTTGGCGGTGGGCTATTTGGCGTTGGAGCTGGATTGAGACTGTAGTTCTTGACGGCTTTTGGTGGTCACATCGCTGTGTGTCTGTAGTTGTGTATTCTATGGTTGTAGTAGTTTGTTGGCCACCCGGTTTTGGAATTCGCTCTTTCGTCGTTCTGGCCTTTGGTCCAGTAAAGGACGAAATGATGACGAGTGTAGAATCGAGGTATGAACACCTCTCTCCTCTTTGGTCGCATCTGGCGCATATCGGATGTTCTTCATCGCACTAATATCCAAGTCAGTACCCTGCTACTCTTCTCTTGGTTCAAAATTCCATTCGAGTATCCCAAATTGCTTGGTTTCGTGAACGTGGACTCAAAATAACATCCAAAATAGGTAGGGCTCACCTTAAGTCTCCTCCCCTTACACTGTATACACCCAGTCCTCGACCTCTGATGATACTTTCTCCTCCACATCTTGCAAGCCTCAAACCTCTCTCTCTTTCAACCTATTATCTCTCACCTCGAAGTACAATTAAAATAGACACACAAAAGTCTCAATCGACCAGACTAGATACCTGCAGTTGGAGCTCAGTTAGTATCCCACAATCACTTGCAAGTTTGCAAAATCTCGCAATCTCAATCGTAAAACCACCCCTACCAAGGTACTGCAAAACCGAAGAAAAAAATCAAACAAACCTCAACCACCAACCCTAAAAATCCAAGATAAATCCCCAAGTTTATCCCCTCAGCCGCGGTCCCCATAAATATCTCGTACCACCCTGTCAGGAGGAGAAAAAGACGCCGATTTGAGGCACAGGCCATCCCACCTAATTAATACCACGTCTAAATAATAACTTTTCATTATAACACTTACAAATTAAATAGTAGAATAATGTCTAATCAAGTATTATTTGTCTCTCGCAGTCCCGACATTCTTTAAATCTATTGGGATAGGTTTTATATATATTTCAAATGCTAGGTAGTGGTGGTGTTAGTTGAGGTGGCCATGTGCCTCAAATCGGCGTCTTTTTTCTCCCCCTGAAAGCACCAATCCAACTCTGCCCCGTCCAAACAGGGAATCTATACGGTTTCGCATATACCACACCCTTTCATACATACATGGCTCCCGGTGGACAAGATAAGTGGCAGTCTTGGCGCTGGATATACAAAAAACGCATGCCAAGACTGCCACTTATCTTGTCCAGCATGGGTATCAATACCACGCTGTATGTATGTATGTATGTAGGTGAGATTTTTACCTTAGCGAGCCGCCCTTATGAACGCAGAGAATTGAATAAAACAAAAATAAAAATAGGGGATAGTACGGCATCCCGAATCTACTACTCAACCAGATAACTAAATTGTAAATCGCAAATTGTAAATTATAAACTAGCTTAGGGTTAGGGTTGTATAGCAGCGCTGGAATTAAAAGTAGAACTACTCGATATAAGTAAATAAGCTTAAAATGTAACTCGAATACTCCTACCCTTAAATTTATCCTAAACGCTTCTACCCTTATATAACTCGAACGCTACTTTAACTCCACCCTCCCCCCCTTTATAGAAACCTCTTCTTCTACTACTATTATATCCTTATTATCTATCCTTACACTATCGCCTATAATCGCTATCGCCTACAATCACTGTCGGATAGGGTTATACCTTGAAATGTTATTAGGGAGAGAGTGAGAGAGAGTGAGAGAGGGTAGTGGAGGGGGATAGAAGCGGAGAAATATTTTAGTTATATACGTCGCTAATTCCTAGCCCTGAATACTACCTTCCCTCGAGCTTCCTAAAACGGCTAGGCTAGTACGTGTTGTACTAAATTTGTTTACTACCTACTATTCCTTACTCTCTCCCTCCTACTTTCTCTTCTCTTTTTTTTTACGATAGCGATAGTAAGGATATAGTAATAGTAAGAATATAATAGCGGGGATACGACAGCGAGGAGGCGACAAGAGTAGGCGATAGCGAGGGTAGGTAATAGTAAAAGAATACAAAAGTAAAGATACGTACGGCGACAGCGGGCAGGGAGTTCATATAATCAGGCCCTTATACGTGCCTTCAATTCCAGCGCTGGCATATAACCCTAACCCTGAGCTAGTTTGCGATTTACGATTTGCGATTTGCAATTTAGTCATCTGGTTTAGTAGTAGATTCAGGGATGCCGTAGATAGGGGTATTCTTATAGTACCTACAGCTATTTCCCAAATTTGATGCGTGTTGAGATTAAGTGGATTCGATTGGTGATGAATGAAAACCAAGAAAGTGGGGAGACTGATGGGTAGGTTCCACGAGGGGAGGTGCTAAATTGTTCGGCCATATGGGAGAGAAAATGTATAGATACTGACTGTGGTTGTAAGAAGTATATGACCTGCCCGATCGGACAGACGTGCTGTTGCAGTCGCGGGATTGTTAATATGAAGGAGAATATTTCGTATCTCTCGCATGTATAATAGCGCGACATAGTACGCAGAAATACCTGTGAGCGAAGCCCGAGTCTCAAATCACAGATCCGAAGTATATTTATAATTTTGGTACGAAATCGTAAAGTTAACTGTGTAACCGAATCATCATCACAAGAGGTAAGTTTGATAGTAGTATGACCGATATCATTCATGGTCTATCTATGATTACAAACATGGCTCCGAATGCCATGCAACACCGTCCCAATGCCAAAAGAAGCCCACTCAAGAGTAATGTGAGAGCATTTCCTTCTTTTTCGATTGGACTATGACAAGTTAGTAATAAAATCACAAATGAGAATTAATACGGAGGACTAACCTTCAGAGATAGCATCAACATAGTGCTCGTGACTAATCTTGTTCTTCCCAGTTCGGAGAGCAATCATACCAGCCTCGACACACACAGCCTTAAGCATAGCACCACCGAACTCATCAGTACTCCTCGATAATTCAGGCCAGTTAACAGCATCATCGACCGTCATCTTTCTGCTGTGAATCTTGAGAATTTGTGCGCGAGCCTCCTCGTTTGGTAATGGAAACTCAATCTTTCTATCAAGACGACCGGAACGGAGTAAAGCAGGATCTAGGACATCAACTCTGTTGGTGGCTGCGAGAACCTTGATTCTGTCGTCTGATGCAAAACCATCAAGCTGGTTCAGCAGCTCCAACATAGTTCTCTGTACCTCTCGATCTCCGCTCTTCTCGCTATCGAAACGCTTGGTACCAACGGCATCCAATTCATCAATGAAGATGATCGCAGGTGCTTTCTCCTTGGCTAAAGCGAAACAATCTCGAACCAACTTTGCGCCATCACCGATGAACATTTGTACTAACTGGGGACCGGCAAGTTTAAGGAAGGTGGCATCGGTTTGTGCAGCGCATGCTCGGGCAAGAAGGGTCTTTCCAGTACCGGGAGGACCGTACATCAAAGCACCTAGTAGCTGTTAGCTTCCGGTATGCGATGCTGGTGGTTATTAGCAAACCTACCCTTTGGGGCTTTAATTCCAATCTTCTTGAACCGCTCGGCCTCCTTCATTGGCCATACGATTGCCTCAACCAATTCCTCAATCTGCTTATCCAACCCTCCAACATCCGAGTATTTCTCTGTTGGCTTCTCATCCACTTCCATAGCCTTTACTCTACTGTCATATTCGGCAGGTAATGTATCCAACACCAAATATGAATCCTTGTTGACACCGATCAGATCTCCGGGCTTCAGTGTTTCGGGGTCTACAAGACCGATGAGAGGAAGGAATATGGTCTGTCTTGTTGAAGTCTTGATAACCGCCGACTTTCCAACTCGTGTGGCATCCAAATCGATATTGGCACCTTCTTCCTGTGATTCGGCGGTTGGATCAAGTTCAAGAAGCTCAACAACGTTTCCAACGAGGTATGGTAATTGTCTGGAGATCTTGTCAGAATAGTAGCATTCAATTAGCATTGGTATACTGCATACCGATTGTTCTCAATCTTGTCCAGGTTGTCCTTGATCTTCTCTCCCATGGCTGACTTCTCATGTGTTAAACGCTGGAATTCGCTCTTCATGATTCTGGAATCGTTCTCCAATAGCCTCTTCCGCGTAAGAATATCCTGCGTGCTCAGATTGTAGATTTCCTCATCGATAGGATCGTCTTCTTTCTCCACGGGTTTGGCATCCTTCATTTCCGCATCACCACTGGTATCTGCTGGTCCCTCCCGCTCGAGGTCATCGAGATCTTCTAAGGTGGACATTATGTGGATGGATTATTGGGAGTTGTCTGTATTTAAGGGTGTGTGGGTTGATACAGAGAGGTAGTTGAGGACAGGAGAAGGGTTGGGTTGTGGTGTTCAACTTAGTAGAGCTTCTGGCCTGGAGCTTCTATCAAAGTCGCGTAGTAAGGCAAGCAAGTCGCAGGCAGCTCTTGTCGTAAGCCTCCTACTTACTTGCCGCTTTAAGATTAGAGCTGACAGGGGTCCAGAGTCTGAAGGGTCATGTGACTTGGTGCTGGCATTGTCTCCCACCACAATAGGTGGTTTAGTCAACAATAGCTTAGTCACTAGTCACATTCCGCAGCCAGTTTCCGCGTGGATACTTTATGGCAGGGCCAGCGCAGATTACACTTCCCTCCATCTCCTTTTCAACTCTTGACGTTCAACGCTCGCTCGCCATCACGAAGAAGAAATCATCTACTGTCGCTCTCAACCATACCCAAAGTTGCCGGCCATCTTTCCAGCGATAGTACCCGACAACTTCTCACGACTTTGAACGCCTTTCAGACGCCTTTACTGGTCTTACCGCTCTGCGAAGTGTTCACAGTTGTCAGCCAGCAGCGACAGAATTGGGATCCTCACCTTCAACCTGACCGCCACCCAACTTCTCCACTCCACTCCTTTCTGCCAGCGACCCCATCTACGATCTGACACGAACTTCTCTTTGAAATACCCTCTTCCTTTCATACGTTTCTTTCTGCAACTCTGCGACATCTTGATTTTACGGCTTCAGAACCATCGCATACATTCACATTCACCTACTCTTTGTCCTGTGGCTGCCTGATCGTTCAGGTTGCTCAGTCGTCAGAGGGATCTAGTAGCGCGTGCGCTTTCCAGGTTCCTTCAACACCGCCAAAATTCATTCCAAACTTCTCGTCAAACTTACCACCGACCTCCTCTACAATAAATCAAGTAAGGACCCTCGTACACGAGCCGCAGTATCCAAGAAGCGCAGAGAAGTTCGTCGCAGACCAAAGAAGCGTCCCACTTTCGATCCCAAGGACAACATATACGTCAATAAGATCCAACCTAAGATGATCTCTCCCTCTCCCCCGATGGCACCACCACCGGCTCCTGAGCAGGAGTCGGCGGCAGAATGGTCAGAAAACTTGAACACAACCTTCCTCTGCAGCGACTGCAAGGAATATCCTCCTAATATCGTCGAAGAGTTCTCTTCGGGTGACCTCGTCTGTGGTTCCTGCGGTCTGGTCCTTAGTGGACGCATTGTCGACAGTCGATCTGAATGGCGTACCTTTGCCAACGACGATCAAGGCAACGATGATCCATCTCGGGTTGGTGATGGCGCAAACCCCCTTCTCAACGGTTCTCAACTTCAGACTAGTATCGCTTTCGGTGACGGCAGCAAAGGAAGTCGAGAGCTCAATCGTATTCAAAGCAAGAACTCTAACGACAAGGCCACCAAGGGTCTCCTTTCCGCGTACAAGGAAATCGGTGCACACTGTGACGCCGTCAACATCCCCAAGAATGTCTCTGACACTGCCAAGCATCTTTTTAAGCTCGTCGATGATGCCAAAGCCTTCAAAGGCAAGGGCCAAGATGCTATTATTGCCGGCTGTATCTTCATCGCCTGTCGCCAGTGCGGCGTTCCCCGTACCTTCAGAGAAATCTACGCCTTGACAAAGGTTACGAAGAAGGACATTGGTCGAACATTCAAGGCTTTGGAGAAGTTTTTTGCAGAAGACAATGCGAGCAAACAGGCCTCGGCAGCTTCGGGTGGTAAGTTGTGTAAAATTGCTATACAAGTGAAACGTATTAACATTCAGAAAAAGGCATTCAAGCTCCGAGCCCTTACAAGGGTGCTCTTTCCACCAGTGCTCACGAACTTTGCGTCCGTTATTGCAGTCAACTTGGTCTCAAGGGTCAGATGTTTGTCAAGGTCTCGCAGGGTTTAGCTGACAAGATGTCCACCGTCGGTGATCTCGCCGGTCGTTCCCCTCTGTCGGTCGCCGCTGCTTGCATCTACATGGCATCGTACTTGCTTGGTAAGCCTAAGGCCCCAAAGGATATTGCTCAGGTTGCTGGTGTCAGTGATGGCACAATCAGAACCGCTTACAAGTTTTTGTACAACGATCGCGAGAGATTGATTGAGCCTGAGTGGCTTGGAGAGAACAAAGGAGATATGAGTCGTCTTCCAGTCGGCTAAATGGGTGATTCCATGCCGTCTGCGACTATCTTTCTTCCGTGTCGAGGTCAGCTATATGTGTTGTTGTTTATGCAGTCGAACGTGGTTCATGAAATCGAGACACGGGCAGTTTGGGTTTGAGTTGGCCTATCGTGTGGTACCTGGAGTTCTTTCTTTTCTTTTTTTCAATTGCAGCGCAGGGAAATCATGTCCTTGAGCAAGAGGGATCATGAGAAAGATCGTTGATATCACACTTGAACCGGCAGATGAGCAATGGGCTCCGGTAATGACAGCCGAGGAGTTGCGGCTTGCAACACGAATTAGAGGAAGAAATGAGGCCAAAAAAAAGTAGCCGGTAATAGTACTAATCCACAGCAGGATAGTCAAATAAAATCTCTCAAAACCATTGCCTCATTCAAATTTGATGTGATCTTGTGGTTTGAGTTCCTCCATAATCTCTAACTGCACAGCCTCGTTGGTTGTCATTTAGCTGTCTGAAAGGCTCTTCCCCATGCCACGAGGTCGTCCATACGACTTGAATAGTATGACTGATTAGTACACATTTGCTCTACTATCTTTCCATTAACCCTCATGAAAACTATCTCTCCATTCTCTTCAACACCCAACCATCAACATGTCACCAAAACGCAGACGCAATACCCCCTCCAAATCCTTAGAGACCAAATCCCTTCCCATTCCCCTTCTTCCTCATCCTCATATCACCATCAGTAAACAAACCAATCTTCTTCTCACGACCTATACCGTCTCTTCCCTAAGTCTTCTTGTTGTAATGGTATACTGGGGACTGCCGCGTCCTGGATTATTCTATGTATTCTGTTTCTGAGATGATTGAGGAGGGGAATGGGAGGAATGGGGCTGGGGGATGGGGGGAGGTGAGTTTGAGGAGGGGTTTGCTGTTCGTGGTGATTGGAGTAGGATAATCTTGAGGGTAAAAGCAAAGATGGGAGTTAGGGAGGTCCTGCAGGCTACTGGGGAGAGGGAGTTGATTAAGTCTAGTTTTGGCCCATATGATGGGATTGGGGAGTTGGGTTTGCTGAGGGGAATGTGGGGAGTCGTAGGGAGTTGTTTGATGAAATTATGAGGGTCAGCCTGGTCAGGGGGTTGAGGAGATGAATAGGAGGGAATGAGGGGAGGTGAGTGTTAATGTGGATGTGAGTGTGGGTGTGGGTGGGATGGAAATGAAGGGTTTAAGGGAGGAGGGGGTGTTTGACTCAGATTTTCGTATCAAGAGGGTTTCTAACGATATATCGAGTCTTTAGATATATTGGCTCAAGATTGTGTGGAAGGATTACCGTTTCGTGGTAGACGAGAAAAGTGGCTGTTAAACGCTTTCTTATTCTAACCCCCTCGGCTAATTGTTGAGAATCTTTTCTCTGCATCCTGAATCAGTACTTTATGTTTTTTAAATTTTAACGGAATGTCTGTTCTTGTATAGGATCCTCTTTGTAAGTTCAACTTCACAGCCAGACCGTATTAAGTCAAGACAAGCAAATGTTTATGTTTTGAAGTGTATGTATTGTGTTGGAAGCTATTCGAGAAACTCAGACCACAAATAGTTCTCAGGCGAGCCAGTACACCTATGGGAGAAAGTATATCTTGTCGAGTACCTCTTTAGAGGACTACTCATTCTTCCCCATGCACTACTTAGTCTCTGTGCCACCTGTCTTCTTGCAAGTCAACTTGTGCAACTTCCAATCAGCAGCCTGATGCTCCTTGCAGCAATACTTGACCGCTCGGCAAGAAGCACATTGCTTGAGGTCCACCCCAGCACTTTGTATGCCACAGTAATGACACCAAGGTAAAGTTTGTCGACTCTTCTACTTTTTCAAAACTCTCTCTGCGCATTCCTTTGAGTTTTGTGTGAACTTGGAATCCCCAACCAATTGCGAGACTTTTACCACTACCAACTTGTCACAGCATTTGCTCATCATAACGTTCCAATCCTTCAAGGTACCAATGAAGTATGGTTCTCCAAATACCCCTCCAACGACCTCTCCATATTGCAAAGATGTCATGTCCACCACGAGGTACTCCTCGGGGTCATTTGGGGATGGAAAACCGAGAATGGCGTGTCGCCTACCTTCCTCGTCCCCACAAGCGAGGAGGTCGAAGTATCTAGACTCTTGAGGTATAGGAGAATGAACCATAGAAACTGAAAATAACTTCGTACCAAACAAGTCGAACTCGGGAATGACGCGCGATGACGGCTCGAAAAGAATAGGTTCCTCTTTGCCTAGCTGGATTGAGACTTTTCGACCTGGCGGGTAGAGCTTGAAGAATTGTTGATAAAGGTGAAGGGCATGGAAACAACCATTGAAACCACGTGTGATGTTGAAAATCAGGTCACGATTTTTGAGGGAAAGCCCCTTGATTGCTGGTTGAGCAGTAGGATGGATGATACATGTTGCTACGATTGCCTCCTCGGTAGAGAATGCTGGAGCGCCTTGATGTCCGAAGTGGTGAAAGTGCTCCTCCCTGATAGTTTTGGGTTTTTTCGGGAATTCAGCTTTTATTGTCTGTGTAGGGAGCTTACAGGCTAGGTCCACGAAGCTGGTGTTGATGAGACGAACATTTGGGAAACGAGCGTCGGAGGTAGATCTCTCGTATTTGAGGAGGATCGTGAGGGTTCTCAAGGAAATTGGTTCCGAGTCCATTTTTGTAGCTGCTGGAAGGTTTGCCTACGGTTGGTGTAGGACGAGGGAAATGTAGAGGTTTAGGCTGAGGGTTGGAGGAGGAAGTAAAACCTTTTATGGCTCGCTGAAGGGCCTCCCATAAAAGTGGGCCTGCGAGAAGCTCGAAGGTGATTGTTGCTTTGACTAGCAGGAAGTGGGGAATTGTTATTGTTAACTCCAATCCTATTTCACTTTAGACTTCACATTTCGTAACGCAGAAGTGAGGTTGCTCAGAGAGTGATTTCTACATTATAACACTTACACATCCACCTCTTTGACGAAGCCCTCTCCCAAACACTCCCAAAAAGAGGCACGAAAAAAGACAGTAGACAAACAAATCATATGGCGGTTTAATAAACTTAAATCATCTCTCAAAGCGGCAAAGATCCACCTCCCAAGCCTGTACTATGAGGACAAGGGAGCGCCTGGTGGGAAATCCACCCTGTGGATGGATTTTCTTTAGGCTATAAACATCAGTGCATTAGGCCACCAAGGATGTCACTTGTTTGCTGAAGAGGGGCAGCTGTATTTGTGGTTTAGATTGGATTGGGTAGGAGGGAGTGAATAGGACTTTCTGATTTGTTGGTGCGTACCAACCTTCTCATATGCCAGAGGGTCTTGTAAGTTGATGTCGCTTTTGATCCTAACGCTGATGATCCCAGCAATTGTGACGATAAATGGGAGACCAAATGGTGGCCTGCGTGAAGATGAGTTGCGATTTATAACTCCATGGGTTAAAGGCTTCACGTTTGAAGAATGGAAGGAGGTGGTCTTGCCCATTGTCGAAGTGAAGGATATGAATTGGAATAATGACCCATTCAAGGACATTGTGTTGGAAGAAAGCGTTGAGAAAGCAATCACGAAGTTTGTAGTCATCCACGCTCACGAAAAGGAAAAGCCTACCATCCTACTCAGAGGGCCGTCAGATATAGGAAAGACATCAACGGTCACGGCATTTGCTGAAAAGATTCAAGCACCCCTTTACAAAATCGAAATTGGTGGTTTCCACGACATCCTGAATGTTGAAACACTCAGAAGAGATTTTTCTAGAGCGGAGAAATATGGAGCAGTTATTCTTATGCGTAGAGCGGAACTACTGCTCGAGGCTCGTTTGACTGAAGGCTTGAACGACAACGCGCAAGATGAACTAGTCTCAGTTTTTCGTCAAGCTCTCGGGTAACGCAGATGCATCACATTTCTTTCCAGCAATCGACTCGAGGTAATAGATGACTCTTTTAATTTAACTATCTAGTAACAGCTATTATTTCCAAAGCTGAAAATTAAGGCTAGGGAGAAGATATAGGAAAGCGTTTTAGGAGGCAGATTTACTACAGAAGATATCAAAGTTTTAGCAGCAGCTTACTACAAATTTAATGGCTGGAATACTAAAAGAGTTGCTGAGGAGGCGCTCTCAAAGTCAATGAAGAGCGAATTTATAATTGACCAAATTCTGAGGATTATAGAATAGGAAAAGCTATCGCTACGTGTGACGCAGAACATAAAGAGTTCAGGAAGGCAATTGAGAACTTCGAGAGAAGATAAAATTACAGCTCCGGCTCCAGCGCTCGTTAAATAGAACCTATTCCATTGAATTCCAGAGGATATTCTGAACAAGGGCCTGTTTGGCTTGCGAATTTAAGTAGTGCAAATGCACTACAAATCATAAAATTTTAGCTCGAGGCACATTCAAATATTGCCACTTCCACCGAAGATTGCAGCATGATGGCTAATGACAATGCTCAGGAAGAAGACGCAGATGATAGACTCCAAACTATTACTGTCATTTCTTCCCACTGGCAAAAGACGTCTGGAAAAATTGGCAAGGTTTTCAGAATCAAAGGCACCGTAAGCCGAGAATGGGTCGAATCGTCAAAGCTACCCTCATAATCCCCTAAAAGCGAAGCCAGTAAGTCCTCAGAGGGGGTACAACTTGTTTGATCTGCTTTATGCGACAATTAAGGCTAGAAAATGTCGTATTCTCCAAATGCAAACATGAACTGCATTGAAAACAGGATCAACAGTTCAAAGTGGGATTGTGCTGGGCAATGTCGTTTCTTGAAGGGACTTGGGCTAGTCTCATTCTCAATTAAGGCATAGCTTACAACTCGGTTGATTCCTCTCTGAGCCGTCGCTTAAACATGGTACATGGAATTCGGTACATTTAACTTCTCGGGAATTAGGTACGCGGTTTTCGAGGAGTTGGGTGTCAACTGAGTCAAATTGGAGTTTCAGAGAAACGTGGGGTTCTGCGAAGGAGACACAACTAGTGACTGCAAAGCCTTTCAATTGTTATTGCAATCATTGAATTTTGTTGTGCTGGTTAATTTCGACCTGCCACACATTCACTCGCAGCTCAGGAAACCACATGAGTTTACACTTTGAAACTTGGCTTCGTTTTCTTAAACAAGGCTCTGGTAGGAAAGCTAGAGATTATCACAAAAATACAAAGGAAATACAATCGATTTCTCCATGCCATGCCCCATAATTTACCAAGTAACAGCTACGTTCATGTATCAGTATCACAACTTTATCATCTCCTAATATGCGCACTATCCCAAACGGTCTCCTGACAGTTATATATCCAAGTAATACGTGTTTCTCCCGCCAAAAACTGGCACAGTAGCTTAACGGTCATGGGGTCAAACTGCGAAATTCCCCACTCAGGTTGGTAGTCAGGTTGTTCCATCCTTAAAAGGGAGTGAGTGCGCAGGTTAGAAAACTACGAAATTCCTCACCGCCTCCTTTGTTGGGTGGTTTTTTCGTTCCTACCTATTTCTTTTTATGACTTGTTTCTCTTTTTTTGGGACGTTGGACTTGGTAAAATTACTATTTTGGTCTTGGCGGCGCCACAGTGGTCGATTATCTTTTTGGGACAAGGAGAAGGGGGCACGGGGGTCAAGATTCACTGTTGTTGGTAGCTGGTTAATGGGCTCCTGGTGGACAAGAAAAGTAGCAGAGATTTTTTTTTAACTATTAGCGCAAGTAAATTCTAAGTACTAAAATGTTTAAAATAGCTGGAACAATTGCCTTTATTGTGCTATCGTTTTCGATAAATCATTCTAATCATTCTAAATAAATAATATAATATAATGGTTTTTGTTGAGTTAGGATAAGATAAAAGAGGCCTCTGCTACTTTTCTTGTCCAGCAGGAGATGGGATGTGTTGAGGGTTATAGGAAGATAGAAAACTGGAGCTCTTAAACGAACAGGTCAACCCTCCCTTCGCCACAAAAGAGCCTACGAATTAGGGCTTCTTTAACAAGATTCATATAATGAGACATTGATTTTAGATGGGACATTGATACAATCTCGTATGCCATATATTATCCTGAAACTAAAAGACGAGAAGCTGTCAAGCTTGGCGTCGGCACATCTGTATCTTCTCATCCTACATACATTTCGTACAAAGTTCCCAAGCACATCTTTTACGGGTTGCTCTCTCCAACATCATTTGATATCTTGATTTCGTTCGAGTCTCTGGGTTCTAGGCTCGTAATATCTTGGTTCTTGCCCCTGATAGCACGACCATTCACCGGGCTATTGTCCCGATGGAGAGGAGGAGAACATTCGTAGCACTTCTTTAGAATTGTAGCTTACAGGCATGAACTGCTCTCTCGTTATGAACAATACCATTGTAAGACAGTATGATCAGGGACTGGGGCTCACGATAGGAAGCCATAACAAAATCGGCCTTTTTTAGCTTTCATGAGTATTTTATCGTGGATAATGTCTGCTCTAGATACGCTCCATGAAAGCCCTAGCTTAGCACGCCCTTCGGAGGATTACATGGAATAGTCAGAAGAAAAATTACTATGATTGTCATCCTCATCATCTTTATGGTCTTCGTATTTTTCATAAATCTACCACCCACTCTGTGGCTGCATCGTATCCAAAGAAGATAAACTGCTCTCGTTCTCAATTCCACTCATTAAGCAAGAAATACCGACTGAACCCGCCACCATTTCCGCTTTAATATTCTCGCCGTTATCGTCAATAGCCACTGGAACTTTATTCCATCCTCGGGGTATCTCATCGTCGCTAACCTTATGATAACGTACTCCATCTAACATCAAGTGCAGGTCGATGTGATCCTTAAAATTGTCTATGGTCATGTCACCAAAAGGGGCCGAGTCAGAATAGGCTTCCATCTGCTCGCTGGCAGGCAACTTATGTAAACAAGATCCTTTATCGTCCCAAAAGCAAAACGCGGTGATCCAACCTGAGTATTTCGTGACGCCACTCATGTTGTTATTGATGTCGATGACTCGTTGCCAAAAATCAATTACTGAGGAATTTGTCGGGTCTTTGAATGTTTGTATCATTTTATTGAGAATGATTGAAGAACATCCGCAAACTGGGTGGGCTCGATTCCCAATGACCGAAGCTTATCAAGTCCCTTCAAGATGAGTTCATAGTATGCCTTTTCTCCCAGGAGAGTGACCGATGGGATCCCGCACCCTATGCTGCACTTGAAACTGAAGTACTTTTGCATGGTTGCCATCATAATTATCGATGCCACTACCTGGTCGTGTTTTGTCGTCGTTGTGAACTTCGGCATGACCCAATCTCTGTATTCTTGATCGACAATCTTGTCCTCGAGAAGCTTTGACATTTGGTACGCAAACGCTCCAAAGTCAACACTATATCTGTTTCCCGAACCGTACTCAATCACCAGCTCTTTCTGCCCCTTGTGCTCAACAAATATGTCCCGTAGATATTCTGCGTGAGCATTGACGTATGAGCTGATTTGTGTGAGGATAGCGAACCAAATATCTTCAGGTCGAAGAATAAGGTGGTGGTGTTCACTATAAGCGCTTATGATGGAGCGTACAAATCCGTTGCTCGAAGCGTACATGGGGGATGGAAGGCTGTCGTCGTCAAAAGAGGACTGTAGGAATTTGGTGTCATCGCTTGTAATGTCTTTGCAAGTTCTTTTTAGGATCTCGAAGCCATCTGTAGCAAATCGTCTCTGGATAGGATTTGTTTGCACTATGGCTAGCGGAGATAACTCGGACTGGCATGTTGATATATCAATACTTTCTGTGAACGATACTGGATCTTACGTGGTTGAATGATCATTATATATACGAAATATGGGAATTTTTGCCATGCCATCCGAATTATTAATGTAGGTATGACTGCATACCTACATCTTGCCTTATCCCCTCAGCTGTGGCCAGAAACACCTTTTTGTAGCCTATACAGGGGGTGGAACACCAACTTTGGTAGTATCTTTAATTCTATATTATTCGACTTCTACAGCGTAGGTATAAAAATACGCGATTAGATGCTATAGATGCAGGGGCTCGTAGTTAAAATGCCTACCTATTAGATATTCTTAAATATAATAAGCATACTAATATAATAGTGCGAAATCGCCTTACTTGATAGGAATAGATATTAAAAGGAGTGCATTAGGCGCATTTGCTAATGATAAGCAAAGAAAGATAGTATAGTATTAATCACCTTTGCTTGTAATGGATACAACTTCTAGTTATATAATGAAAGGCCTTGTTTCCGTAGCTTTCATCGATTAGAGTACATTTTGTACCCAAAACTAATGAAACTATCGGGTCCTATTGGATCGCTTAATATTCTTGGCAGTGGGTCGCAAAAAGTTGTTTCTGGCCGCAGTTAAGGGGATAGGCAGCCATCTTACACCGTTGCCTTTCTATACTCGGTTAAGAGCGCTATAGGTATTTTGTGCAGGGTTGTAGGCTAAAACAGTACTTGATTCGTAAAAAGTTGCTTGCCTGTTAGTGGCGGGGCTACTAGACTAACGTCCCTCTAGGAACTTATTAACTTCTTGCGTTAGGAAATTCCTAATACCGGCCCGGGGTACAAAACCTTCCCTAAGCCGTACTTTTCCTAATACTAACGGTAGCCGTCAAACCTTGATTAGTACTAAAGGTATAGTTCTTTACGTACTTAAGTCTTGTTTACGCGTTTACTTATTTATAGGCAGGGGAGGGGGAGAGAGGGGGGG